AATTTAACTGATTTCAAATGATTTAGCATTGCATCTTGGACCATTTTATGCATAACAGTTTGTCAGTTACAAATGCAAACTTTTGGCAGTCAAGCTTAGAAACGTTATCAAGTGTTTTCTTTGGATTTATCAATTATTATTTGACCTTAATCTGTATTTATATTCATTAACATATTTTTCTTTATTTAGAACTCTTATGCATAAGAGCAACGGTAGCAGCCACTGAGGGATTTTCACCATGCAGGGATACATGTGGAATTCAAATCAACATACACCAGCAAGATACCTAGAACGACCTCCACCTCCTTATCCACAACAATTCCCACCTAAGTACCAAGCTGTCAGGAATGATCAGCCCAATGCTTTCCAGGCTCTGTTCAATCAACCCAATGCGTTTCAGGCACAGTTCAACCAACCAATACCCCAGGCGCAACATTTTGCAACACCCGCAAGATATTCCAATGGACAACAAGAGGCTACAAATCAATGGAACGCTTACTCAGACAGTGGTGACCGTTTTGTTCATGGTTTTCAGTCAAACTCACGTGGATATGATCAGACAAGGCAGCCAAACCAAATCCAGCCATTCACAGGCTCCAATTTACAGTCGTATTGCCAATCTGAAAAACCCAACACGTATATGTACTATAACCAAAGCAACACACAATCGAACGCCTCTTGTCCACAGACATACAGAAACACAGACTGTAGTCAAACTCCCATGTATTGGACTTCACAGTCGAACAATGGCAGCTCTGTAGGTAACAACAGGGGTTGGACTAATCACGTTTCCAACAATGGCAACTCTTCTTCAATGAGCAATCAGCAACAATTTCAATCCCAAAGAAGGATTCCTGCTTATTATTACCATCAACAACAACAACCAGCAGCAACAACAACAACAACAACAGCAGCAGCAGCAGCACCAGCAGCAGCACCAGTTCTCTAGACAACAGTCAGGCAAATGGCAGAAAAAAAAACTTTCAACAAAAGGACACCAACAAAGATCTACTAGTTACAATAACAGTCAAGCTCAGAACCAAAAAGCAAGCATTGACAACTCATCCAACCCCACGACTGCGCCATCTGGAGAAAGTAACAGCATGTCACTGCCTTCCAATAACTTACACCAACGTCCTGTTTTCCGGCCAGAACTGAGGGTCAATCCAGGTCCGGATGTATCTGCAACCCAGTCTCAGAGTAATCAGAGTGTTGGGCATCAGACTCAGAGAACAAACTGTGGGACATATAATGCTATGCAAACCGCTCAAACGATACAGGCTAATGAAGCCCAGCCTCCGGTTCACTCTAAAATTATCAACTCGCTCATATATAAATTATTGTGTTCAGATTCCAAGAAAGAGGCAAATGTACAGCAATCAATTGCACATCAAAACACCGGTCCACAGCAGTCTGAGGTTTGTGCAACGGACAGAACTGACCATAACTCAGTAGAACAGTTTCAACCACCTAATAAAAGTATGAAGCATGGTGTGGATCAGAGAGGCTACTGGGATAAAGATAGAAGTTTGTCCAAAGACAGAACTGATTTAGGCATGCAATCAGACGTACCTAGAACCCTTCAGACCACTATTGATGAGAACAGACTTAAAATAATGAATCAACACAACATACATTACAGTACGGACCCTGCAGACTGCCTAGAAGCTGTGATTGCGCTACAGAGAGCTGCTCAGCAAGGTCACAAGGCCATAGCCATTGTTCCTCCCATTTCCCAGCAGCCCTTAACCAATGCACAGATTGTAGATACCACCCCAAAAAAACCAGATAGTCCACCATTAAAGATTGCTTCTGTGTGGTCACTTGGTGACAAGTCTGATGCACAAAAGTCTATATCTGAATCACCTTCACATACACCTCAACAAGATGACAAAAGCATCGAAAATGATACTGAAAGCAGTACAGAACTGGATACATCTAGTGTAAGCACAGTCGAATGTCAAAATGATGTGCAACAAGGTACTTCTGATTTAAGCAAGCCTTCATTTGACTTGTCCAGTGTGCCAGTGGTTGAGTACAACCTGGAGAAACTGAGGGACTTAGTGAACACTTTAGAGAGGACAGAGTTTTCAGAGCGACTTCCAGAGCACTCCGAGTTTGTTTTAGATAGGATTTTGAAAATCTACTGGAATGGGAACGAGGACAGTATTTGGGAGCCTTTGGGATCTTTGATAAATGAGTCACCACAGTCATTTGAAGGAATTGTGCGGGATGTTGAGTCTGTGGTATTTGAAAGTGTTGAAACTGAAAATCTACAAAAGCTAGTTAATTGCAACATTCTCAAGAGTGGGATGTATTCTTCGTCGGAGGAGTTCAGGTCTTCTTGGTTAAACATTGATGGACAGCCAGCTGATATTGAAGGGGTGCTTTCAGAAGCACTGGCTGATGACATAACTGTGTATAACATGACATCAGAAAACACTGATGTAACTTCACCTGATATAGATGTGAACTACCTCAAATACTTGCCTGAAATTTCAACCAGCGAGAAAAGTGTGAAGCTTAGCACATGCAATCAAGCAGATCTTTCCACACCCTTGGCAGGAAGCGACAAAGAGGCAACAGCCTCCGAAAACAATGGGCATTCATATGTAGTTTCATCTCCAAGTAAAATGCAGATGCAAAATGACACTGATCAAAGCCACACTTTAAATACAAATGGCTCAGGTCTCTCACCATTAGCAGAAAGCTTGACGGAGAAACCTACAAACAATAAATCGCAGTCATTCAAACAAGATCACTCTAAGCAATTGTGTGATAATGTGTTTGTGTCACAATCACTTTCTGACGATGTTTCAGATGGTGTGAAAAGCTCTGAAAAATGTTTATCTACAGAGACTCTTTGCCGTGCAATGGATATATGTCAAGTACGAGACATTTCCGACAATGAAAAGCCAGACAATACTAAGACTCTTAATAACTCCTCAGAAACCTGGCCGGTAGAAGATATTTCTGAAGATGAAAATTCTGGAAATAAGGATGTTCCTCCTAATGCCACAGACACCTGGATTGTTGAAGATATTTCTGAAGATGAAAATTCCGGAAGTAAGGATCTTCCTCTTAATACAATAGACACGTTGGTGGTAGAGGATATTTCTGAAGATGAAAACTGTGGAAATAAAAAAGTTCCTCCTAATGCCACAGACACCTGGATTGTAGAAGATATTTCTGACGATGATTCTGGAAATAAGATTGTTTCTCTTAAAGCCACAGACACATGGCTGGTAGAGGATATTTCTGAAGACGAACATTCTGGAAATAAACAAGTTCCTCCCAATGCCTCAAATGCCTGGGTTGTAGAAGATATTTCTGACAACATACATTGTGGAAATATAAAGGTTCTTCCTGATGCCTCTGACATCTGGCAGGTGGAAGACATCTCTGATAATGAGAATTCAGGAGATAAGGAGGTTCCTCCCAATGCCTCAGAAATCTGGCAGGTAGAAGACATCTCTGATGATGAGAATTCAGCAGATAAGGACACTCTCAGTGATTCCTCAGACATATGTATTGTGGAAGATGTTTCTAATGATGAAAACTCAAGCGATGATCCCATGTCAATGGAACTCACAGTGCTGTCATTTGAAGATGCAAATACAATTTTCCACCACATAGAAGATGAACCTGAATGTGCAATCAAAGCCAAATCTGACTGCCCAAATCTTGCTGCATGCTCTGATGTACCCAACCATGAATACTATAAAACAACGATTTGCTCTCTGTGCTCCAGCAACATTGTGAGCTCAAATTCTACGGATTCAATCAAGACAAACCATGGTGGTGATGGTCAGTTATGCCTACAGTGTTGGGAACAGGCCCCATTGCTTGAGCTAGAAGATGAGCCTGATATTCTGGGCTCTCCTGCCAAATCGAATGATCAATCTGAAGACAATCTTAAACACAAGAAACCAAATGTTGATGCACCTGTGACATGCATTGCAGAGGAAGGATTGACCATACCAAAAAGAGACAGTGTTGTAAAATCACAACTGGGAGAAAATTGTTGTCAACCTTCTCAAGTCAAAAAACCAACAGTTCCTTTACTAGAGGAATGCGCTGAGCTCAAACAAAAGCCAAGTCCACCATCTCCTAAACCTGAATCTAAGAATTCAACTTTGGGTTTAACTGAGCAGTGCATTGAACTGAAACAAAAATGTATGCCAATATCTGTTGAATCCGAAGTCAAGAAACCAACTGTTGCTTCAAAAGAGCAATCCAATGAACTGACACCCACTCATAGTCTACTTTTTCGTGAGCTAGTCAAAAAACCAGCTGTTGTCTCAACAGAAGAATGCAATGCCCTTGAAGGACTGACTGGACCAGGAAGAGACCATATGGTCAATTCAGAGCTGGGACAAAGACATAGGTTGCCATCTACTGATTTCAATGCTCAGGAGTCAACATGTGCTTCACCAGGGACAAGCATTGCAGAAGAACAAATGACGGTTCAAAAAAGTAACTTCATGGAAACATTACAACTCAAACAAAACCGTAATGAGCCTTGTTTGACTCTCCAGGGGTCAAGTACTGCTTCTGCAGTGCAGCATGGACTTGTGTTACAAAAATTTGGCAACATGGCGAAAGGAGTCACTAAGACATTGCCCAAAACTCCAAAATCAGCTAAACGGGAGTCAAACAAAAAGAAGCTAAAGATAAAAATGACATTTCCCAAGCGCAAAAAACCACCTTCAACCCCTTCTGCTTCTTCCAAACACAACCCAAAATCTGCTAGTCCTAGCACTGTTCCTGATGAGTGTGTGCTTTTTGCTCCAGATATTGTGGTTAAAAAGATCTGTCCTCAAAAGAAAAATGTACCTGCTGTACCTGCAACAAAACGTCCTAGTGTTGAGTGCAACAAGATGAACAAATCCAAAGAACGCCGGCCAGAAATAAAAGACATTAACTCACTGACTCAAACAGAAAGCATACAAAAACGGATAGAGAAAGGGTCTGAAGATTCAAATACAAGCCCAATCCACAGGTCTGGAAATGAGTTTGAGCTTCATGGCATTCTGACGGTAAATAAAACGAAAGCAACCGTCCCAAAGAAAGTGAGATTTGACTTGTTTGGGTCTAAAACAGAAGAGCAGAGCTATGCTAAAGAGCGTCGATTTTCAGCGCCTGCCACATTAACGGTCTCCGATTCGTGCAACGATTATACTGACGTGCTTTCTGCCAAACAAAAGGTTCACAACCTGTGGAGTAGCACGTTTATACCACAAAAGAAAAACTTTTATAATAGGTCACAACAAGAGGGAACGCCGCAGAAGAACAAAACACTAAAACATTACGAACATTTAAAGTCAAATATGAGTGCTTTGAAAGACCACTTAACTCAAAGGGCCATGCTTTTGTCCAATAGTGAAGTGCAGTCTAGTCACTTTAGAAAGCCATTTTCTAGGCAAAAGCTGTCAAAAACACTAAGTAGCTAATGCCTGTGGTCCGTATTGTTGCTTTTATGTTTACTTAAATATGTTTACAAATAATAACTGTAACTGAGATGTGCGCCAGTTTTCTGTGAATGATAGTCATGGATGTTTTTTTTATTATTATTATTATTATTATTGTTTCAGAACTCAGATCTTTATTTTTTTACAGCATTATTGTTTGTGACTGATTACAGTATTGATTTAGAAGTATATTTTTTAATAATTGTTTTTCTTTTACTATTTTAAGTATTTTCGAATGTTATTGCAAGATGTAAAATATACATTTGTGTTTGAAAAACGAGACAATTTTTGGGAAAGTTGTGCAACAATAAATCTTGTAATATTGTAATTGTCTTTTGGGGTTCTTTAATGCATAAGCTCTCTTTTTTAACATTCTCTTCATTATATTTTT